CCCCGGCCGGTGTCAGCCATGGTGTGGCCAGCAGGAGCAGGGAGGTGACCGTGCCCCTGTACCCAGCACGGGTGAGGCCGCCCCTCGAATGCTGGGTGCAGTTTTGGGCCCCTCGCTGCCAGAAGGACACTGAGGTGCTGGAGCGTGTCCAGAGAAGGGCAGCGAAGCTGGGGAAGGGTCTGGAGAGCAGGTCTGTGAGGAGCGGGTGAGGGAGCTGGGGGTGTTCAGCCTGGAGAAGAGGAGGCTGAGGGGAGACCTCATCGCTCTCTGCAGCTGCCTGAGAGGAGGCTGTGGTGAGGTGGGGTCGGTCTCTTCTCCCAAGGAACAAGCGACAGGACAAGAGGGAATGGCATACACATATATATTTTAAATCAGCTGAAAGCATTTTTCCACAGAAGACCCCAAACCCAAGTTACCCAAGTAACAACTAATAAATTATAGCCCAACTTCGCGGCATGTAGTAATTACCGATGCAACTAGGGGTGGGAAACCCTTCTACAACAAGAAAACACACGTTAACAGGAGCTTACGCTCGTGGAACAGACCTGTGCAACACGTACAGCGCCGGCACGGCCGCAGCGAGGCACTCTGAGGGCGGATGCACGGCTGGGTGCGCTGCCCTGCATCCCGGCTGGTTTTGTAACGCTGCACCCTACATCCATGGCCCAGGGCTAGACCTAATCTCTTTCCCGCTCTCTGCTCCCCAGCCAAGCCGGCGACCTCCCCGAATTCAGGGTGTCCTCCTGGCTGTATTTTAACCATCCTTCTCATCTATAGTCTTTACTTAATGTCTTTTTTCCTTCACTCCATTAAACAAAGGAAAAATGGCCGTGTATAAAGGAGCATGCATGTGTGGGAGGCCTATCATTCTCTCTCCCACCTTCCCCTTCCTTCTCACTGTGAAGCGAACCATCGTCCAATTACCGAAAGACCCCAGGCGGGAAAGGGTAAGGAAGTGGCTTTGCAGGCTTTTGTAGCAGTCAGTGAATAAAATAACCAAGGATGGGCCATTTCACAGAGGAGCCAAGTCTAGGAGCATCAGGTCTTTTCAAATGAAATACAGACATATTTTCCCAGTAAATTTCACCGAAGTCTTTATTTTCATAGTGCTCCAATTTGAAGGGAAGGCAAGTAAAAACAACATTAGAGTCATCAGCAGGAGCCTATTTGGCAGAGATGTGACTGCCTGAAAGGAACTGGTGTTGCTAGAGGTCAGCAGAAAGAGCAGGAGCCTTTCACACCCTCGAGGTCCATTCCAGCTCCGGGACCTTCACTGGGCAACTCCTCAGCTCTTTCATATTTTTAGGGCCCCCAGCTCAAGTGAAGGGACAAGCCACCTGCTACCGTGTCTTTCCCTTCCCAGTTCCCCAGTCTAACCACACCCGTCCACCCACCCGCCGTGCTCTAGCCCCCCGCTGCAGCCGACGGCCGCCACGACCCCCCTTCTGCTGAGGATCCCGCGCTGCAACTAGCCACGGGCTCGCCAAGCCGATCC